ATTCTTCAAAAGTCTTGATTTCTTCGAATCACTTCCGAGTGATTTGCAACGGATGACGATTTGAGTCCTTTGAATGATTGAGACAATTTATAAATGAAAGAAACTCAAGAAACGAAGTTTGTTAAAAAATACAAGAATGTTTGTTATAATCAAAACAAGTAGAGTTATATTGAATCATAGGTCAACAATATGCTAGAAAGTGTACCTCGAAACTTTTAAGAAATTGTGAACTTTTCAGAAGGATCTCAGTGGAAAGAGGCCATTAAAAGTGAAAAAGATTCCATTTTGCAAAATCATACATGGGAACTAGTGGATCTTCCTTTAGGAAGTAAACCACTAGATTACAAGTGGATTTTCGAAAGGAAAATGAAAACAGATGGAACAATCGAAAAGTCTAAGGTTAGATTAGTAATAAAATGCTACAAACAACAGGAAGGTCTTGATTACTTTAATATGGGCGTATTCGGTAGAGATTAAAATCGGATTAAAATTGAAAAAATAGCCGTTATTGTTGACTTTTATTAGACGAGTGGGACCCAATAACGGTCATATTTTCAATTTTAATTGGATTTTAATCGAAAACAAACAGGTTCTATATATTCTACACTTATAAGAATAACATATATTAGGATGATACCTGCAATTGTCGCTCCGCGAAATCTTGAAGTACAATAAATGGATGTTAAAACTGTTTTCTGAATGGAGATTTAGATAAAGAAAGTTTGTAAATTGGTGAATTCATTGTATAGCTTGAAACAAGCTCCAAACAGTGGCATGAAAAATTTGACAATGTTATGATGGAATGTAGATTTAAGATTAACGAGTGTGAAAAATGTGTCTATGTCAAAGACACTGAAAATGGTTGTGTCAATTTATGTTTTTACGTTGAAGGTATGCTTATTGTTGGCAGCAACGATAAGATGATTTAATCTACTAAAAAGAAGTTAAATTCAAGGTTTGACATAAAAGATATGAGATTAGCTGATGTAAATAGAGAGTTCGTTGGAAAATTATCGAAAGGAATGTGATTTAAGCCCTTAAACAGATAAGTTAATACAAAGAAAACTCAACGTAGTTGATTAGAGATCCCAAGATCTAGGTTCAAATAGACAACATAATTGTAAAGACTTAATTGAATTACTGTGGGGGATGTTATCTCTTGTCCATTCCTATGATGTAACAGTGATGCATGTAAGGATGAATGATAAGTAATAAGCTTTTAATTATTCTTATGCGTCGAAATTATGCCGAATAATGCAGGTTACTTGTAATAAGAAATAAGAGAGAAGTTGGACTACTTCTAAGAGAATTGTGTAGGGCTCAATTCTTAGAAACTCTCACAGAACCAGATATATGTTCATGGCAACCGAATTGTGTAAGGAAGAATTTTGTGTGGAGTATATCATCTTTTACATAAAAGGCTAGACAGTTCAATGACATTGTATCTACTGGTCGGCTAGTATAATAAATATATTTTCACNCACAAGGGAATGTTCAAAGGGTAATACCTACATATTCTATGCAGGTTTCAACCGTTGAACTATATCACCAAGTCTTTATGTCTTTCGTTTCTGTCTCTCTCAATTTTCATTTATGTAGGGGATTGTTTGAAAAAATAAATAAATTGAAGGGCTAACTTTGACATAAATTTTAAGAGGGATTTTTTTTTTGGAAGATCGTGATTGATTTGTGTTCTCCTCCATGAGAATATCGAAATCATATATTTACTTGCCAAAAATGATCTCGGGTGAATAAAAAATTGGAGCTCAAAGTGATGAATTGGAAGAGGTTTTGTGTCGAAAGGAAACTAGTTAAATTTATCTCACATAGAAAAATAGATAAAGGCAATGACCACTTTAAATATGATTACACTTTAGAATGGTGTAATCATATGTAGCATAGATACTCTTTCCACGTGTGCACGCATGAGGGTGCAAATCACGAACCGAAAAATACTTCAGACCATGAACTTGTGTATGGGCATGACCTGCGTACACGAATGTTGGACCGAATGGACCAAAAATTGGCCCTCAAGAAGGTCCACTTTTTGTATTTATTTTATTATTTTTCCAAATAAAAAAATATTTCGAATTTTTTTGACTCCTAAAACTCATGTGATTATGTCTATATTAATGGAGAGATTAACAGTCGGGTTAATGGTGGTCAATTGCATAACTCCTTGGCTGTTAATTCTCCGACATAGACTATTTATTTAGGCATCTTCTTCCCTTACAAACACACGAAAAATTTCTCTTCTCTGCATATAACAAAATTTTATCTCTTATCTGCATCCGTAATTTTCATTTTCTGTTAAAGTGTTGGTGGTGATACTGTTCAGATACTAAGTTAGTTCGTCAGAGTAGCATTTGCAGTGCTCAAACTCTACTGATTTTTCGTTGTATCTTGGGAACAGATGCTCGAACTAAACCTCAAGCACCTACGGTAAGGGGGCGAATCTGTTTTAACGAAACTGTGTTCACATAGGCCTCGGTTTTAAAGTTCATTGGATTTGTATTTCTTGTAATTTATATTACTTGTTTTATTTTTTAATTGTGATCAATAAAATTATTTAATCTGTGATAATTTGGCTAACATTCGGTTAGTTAGCTGTCCAACCAATATTTCTATTCATACGATAAATTAGTTGCACAGTCAGTATGTATCCATCTAGTATTTATTCATTATTATTTTGTCACATTTTTATGGG